TTTCATGAAGATGTAAACGTTTTTTTAATGTCTTTTAATGCCTATATCAATCATATTTATGAAATACATGCACCTATTTCTATCCTACATCAAAAAACAAATTTACCCCTGGATAACACCAACTATCAAATGTATGATGAAACTAAGGGATCAAGCCTACGCAAGGAGTCGTTCCTCAAAAGTTGAATCTGACAAAACATATTACAAAGATCTAAAACGTGTCGTTAATCAAGCCTTATTCAACGAAAAAGCAGCATACTTCCGATATAATATCAATGAACAATCAAAAAACCCCAAAGAATTATGGAAAAATTTCAAGTTAAATGTCGCTAATTTTAAAAACAAACAATACGATTTACCTGAAAATATCAATGATCCTAATCTTAACAACAACCATTTTCTTAATATAGAGGTAAATCATAACATTATAGCATTTCGGAACTTACCTATTTTAAGTCGAATCGGTGTACCTCTGCAATATTTAGTCTTAAAACTGTGGATGAAACAAAAATTTCTAAATTAATTTCTAATATTGCGAGTAATGCTCAAGGAGCTGATGGCATTACGCGTGATATGATCCAGTTGACATTACCTCGTACATTAGCGATCATTACTGCCATTGTTAATCAGTCCATCAAAACAGGCGTTTTCCCTGACATTTGGAAAAGAGTTCTGGTCAAACCAATACCAAAGAAAAGCAATCCGAACGAGTTAAAAGATCTCCGTCCCATTAGTATTTTTCCCTTTATGTCTAAGATAGTTGAAAAAATTGTATCTCAGCAACTTTTGGAGTTTCTGAATGTCAACAACATCTTACCTCAAAAACAGTCTGGTTTCAGAAACGGTCATAGCACGGCCACTGCTTTATTAGATTTAGTGGATGACGTACTATCCGAAGCTGATTCTGGAAATGGAACAATATTGGTACTGCTGGACTTTTCCCGTGCTTTTGACACAATAAACCACGATTTGCTTATGTCAAAACTCTCATATTATGGATTTGATAGTATCACATTAAAATGGTTTTCAAGTTTTTTGTACAGACGCTCTCAAAGAGTTGAAGTAATTAGCAAAACAAATACTAAAAGACTCTCAGATATTTCAATTGTCAGTCAAGGTGTACCACAGGGTTCAATACTGGGTCCACTCCTTTTTATTCTGTATAGTGCAGATATCGCTTCATGTATTAAATATTGCAAATTTCATGCTTATGCTGATGACTTACAGCTTTACTATTCTTTTAGACCTTCAGAAACTTTATTAGCAGTGACAAAAATTAATCAGGATTTAGCACACGTAGTTGAATGGTCTAATAAAAACAGCTTAGTGCTAAATCCTCAAAAGTCTAAATTTCTTGTGCTTGGGTCCAAAAATCAAGTAGATAGGATTAATAGGTTTACTTTAGAGCTAAAAATACAGAATAAACATATTGAACAAGTGACAGAGGCTAGAAACCTGGGTGTACTAATGGACAGCAAATTAAAATTTCATAATCATGTCCTAGAAGTTGTTAAAAATTGTTATTTTAGGCTAAAGATTTTATACCAAGTACGTAAATTTTTAAGCTTAGACCTTAGGATATACTTTTGTGAGTCACTAATTCTTTCTAAGCTTAATTACGCTGATGCGGTTATAGGCGAATGTCTCCTCTCTCATACAAAGAAAGTTATACAAAGGGTGCAAAACGCTTGTTCACGTTTTTGTTTTAACATACCGAAGCGGACCCATGTAACACCTTATCTCAACAACAGTAATTTAATGAATATGCAGTCTCGACGTTCTCTTCATTTTGCCAGTTTATTGTTTGGTATCATAATGACACACACACCACAGTATCTTTATAACAAATTAGACTTTTCACGGCGACAGGTTAGAATAGCAACTCGTTTAGTATGTCCAAGACACAGTACATCGGCATTTCGAGGTAGCTTTCGTTATTCTGCCACGAAATGCTGGAACAACATTCCACCACCAATTAGAAATCTAGCTTCAATCGGTTTGTTTAAATATAACTACTCAAAAGTCAATTTATTGAAAATTATTTACTGTGTCTTACATACTTTGCTATTCCGTTTATTCGTTTCCTTTTAATCTTATTTAAGTAATTGCGATTTATATTATATTAATTTATTATAAGTACTTATGTATGTTTTATTACTTATTATTATTAGTGTAATCGTGTATATGGTTTAAATATACTGTATTTGCATATTGACTTAACATTGTATAATAATGAATATTGTTAAGTTTTGTTTGTGTTAAATGTTATCGGCACCCACGGAAGATCAGTGTCGAAGTACTTTGTTAGTACCAAGACTATGCTGAGTTGGGTACCTTTTTAGTAACCGTTTATCTTAATATGTTATTATGGTTAGCAAACTTCTAAAATGTGTTACTAAATAAACTTATTTTCTTTCTTTTCTTTCAAAATTACTTATAAATTAAATGTGGTGCCATCCATAGCAACAGAGCGTTTATCTGAGTAGTTTTTACTCGATGAAACACAACACTTTATCGTTTTCTGCTTAATACTATACGCACAGGACGAACGCTAACAGTATACTAAGTAAAGCCGCGCCCACTGTGATAACGTCAGGACCTAATTAGAATCACAGTGCACAGTTGCTTATGCCATCTCCTCTTTGTATTTGCTTCGTGAGTATAGTGATTATGTGTGACGACGCCGAACTGGCTTAAAAGTAGTACTGTACCGCTACCGTCCTATATATGTTTTATGATTAGTTTGATATGAAAAATTAATGGATGTAAAAGTTTAGAATTTCTCCAAAGTTATTTATCATAACCGATTAATGTTATAATTGTATTGTCCTAGTTAATTGTACGAATGAGTGTCGCACATGAATCATTTTTTGGCCCGATTTTATTTTTAACCCACGAGTATCGGTCATAAAAATTTATTGCTTTTTATACGTAGCTTTGTGAATACAACTTTAGGCAATGCATTTAAGGTTGAACAGTTGGCGATAGTTTTAGAGAACTTTTGCATGGGATTGTGTATCTAGTTTTTATTAGTGATCGATGCCGGACAAACATAATTTGCTAACACAATTAGTAAACTAATCTCTATATAAAACTTTTCTCTAGATGTCGTTCCTTCTGTTTCTATAGCCGCTAATGTTGTTCCTATGTTCAAAAATGGTCAGAAAAGCAACGTATTTAACTATCGTCCTATTTTTCTGCTATTCAAGTTGTCAAAATTCCTCGAAAGGTTAAACCATAATTATATATCCCAAGTTACACTTTATATATCATCACTGAACAGCACGGATTTGTTAAAACGATCTCTTGTAAGTTAACTTTCCTGTAAACTTTTTATTCGAAAATTTTTGTCCAGAAGGATAAATATAAATCAAAGCAGTATATATAGATTTTTGTAATGCTTTCGATAAGATGGACCATCTCCATACTTTTTTAAAAATTGGCGTTCAATTCTATCCGTGGTAACTCGTTACACTGGTTCCTCTCGTACGTGTATAATAGAACTCAAAGGGTTGTTGTTAATAGCTTTGTATCGAATAGATTCCTGTCACATATGGTGTACCCCAAGGCTCTATTATTGGTCCCCTTCTCTTCTTCATTTTTAGAAACTGCATAGAAAGTGTTTTCATAACAGTAACTTCCTTAACTTTAACCTTGTTTTTGACGTCAAGCAGCAGTGCATCCACTGTCGTGTTTCACTTTAAAGGTTAAGAGGATCAGTATAATTAGAAACCATCTTAATTCTAAAAGGTGACAACAAGTGTAATCAGCTTTTCTTTTAATTTCATGTAAGTGTGAAAGTTAATTTTTGCTCGTTTATAAAGATAAAGTTACACGCTTTATATGTATGTCCCACTGGTCACAGGTCTAATTTATTTTCTGAGAAAGTTATAGAGTAATTAGTCCGCCATTCTGCTCTAAGCCGTGTTGGCTGACTCGATATGTTGAGCGCTTAACTCCTGAGATACCAAGTTTCGGTAGTTCGTATTTTTTCATCAATACATAAGAAAGTGACGATCGATTTTACTAGTTGGAAAATGAAATGTTATTTATGTAATAGAAAGAGGTGTATAGGTGAGGTAATATGCGCTATGTTTTTACATGGTAGAGCTATCCTGTAGCAATATTATAGTTGTAGCGGTTGTAAGGATTGCGTTTTCACAACGTAACATCACAACACTAGCGTAAATTAGCAGCTTAATATTGCTGTTTTTTATGGTAAGTATAGCGAAATTTTTCAATGGAAAAGAGGCATTTCATCTAAGTCCTCAAGGGTGAGAACACATCTGCAGTTTGATTCTTAATTGAGAATAATTGAGATGTCTAGAGACCACAGAAACTAGATAACACCAGGAGGATTGTGTGCTCGTTTCATCAATCGCTGGTTCAGACCCGGCTCGAAAGGACTATTATGTTACAGCCGATTTTTTTTTATATAGATAAAAGCTGCCAAACGAGCACACAGTCCATCTGATGGTAAGTGGTTGCTGTAGCCCATAATACCCTCGATTACGAATCAAAATGCAAATGCTTTGTCACCCGTGAGGACTAAGATTGAATGCTTTGTTTCCGGTAAAAGGGGTCTCCGGTTCTCTACCATACAAACACATCAGCGTTAAGCTGCTATTTTAAGCTGGTATTCTGTGAGAGGGTGGTTCTTCTCTGGTTGAGCCGACGCATTCGTGCTACTAGTTGTAGCAGTAATATAGCTGCAGCATGGTTCTACCACGTGGAACAACGGATGTATTTAATTACTATGTACGTAAAATGTGACGAAAATATAGACGAACTGAGCAGTTGCAATAAGGTAATTAATTATTTTCTATGAGCGTTCGCGATTGTGCTAGAGATTGAAGTGTCCTCAATGTAGGAATAGCCGCGGGCGCACGGCTTAGCCCCCCCCCCCCTCCGCAGTCTCCGCTGTGCGCCGACTTCTCTGTGTGTGAAAAGCTCTCCTCTAAACCAAACGTAGTGTGTAGTAACGTTGGGTGGTCGGTCAGGACGCAGGCGCAGGACTACGAGCGGCGCGGCGTGCCGGTGGACAAGCGCGAGTACAACTGGCTGCAGCAGCCGCCGCCGCCCGAGGACAGCGCCGACGTCACCATCGCGCGCCTGCCCTCCGGAGACCGCTCCGACAAACTGGTGAGTGCTGAGCCCGCAGCCTCCGCACCCCTGGGGACCAGCGCGGGTACAACTGGCTGCAGCAGCCGCCGCCGCCCGAGGACAGCGCCGACGTCACCATCGCGCGCCTGCCCTCCGGAGACCGCTCCGACAAACTGGTGAGTGCTGAGCCCGCAGCCTCCGCACCCCTGGGGACCAGCGCGGGTACAACTGGCTGCAGCAGCCGCCGCCGCCCGAGGACAGCGCCGACGTCACCATCGCGCGCCTGCCCTCCGGAGACCGCTCCGACAAACTGGTGAGTGCTGAGCCCGCAGCCTCCGCACCCCTGGGGACCAGCGCGGGTACAACTGGCTGCAGCAGCCGCCGCCGCCCGAGGACAGCGCCGACGTCACCATCGCGCGCCTGCCCTCCGGAGACCGCTCCGACAAACTGGTGAGTGCTGAGCCCGCAGCCTCCGCACCCCTGGGGACCAGCGCGGGTACAACTGGCTGCAGCAGCCGCCGCCGCCCGAGGACAGCGCCGACGTCACCATCGCGCGCCTGCCCTCCGGAGACCGCTCCGACAAACTGGTGAGTGCTGAGCCCGCAGCCTCCGCACCCCTGGGGACCAGCGCGGGTACAACTGGTTGCTGCAGTCGACCCACGAGCGGCCATCTTGACGATTCAACTAATCATCCAATCAACGAACCCCTAATTGCACCATGCAATAATTATTCTTCAACATTATCAGCTTGCATAGTGGTGATGTCAGAATATCTACTACCCCATATTGTTCAGTGGACGTAGTAGGACACGACAAAGAGAAATGAAATAGAAAATGGACAGCAGCATCTTGCCAATGGCAGCTGAAAATAATGAAAAACTGTGGTTACTAATCCGCTTGCCAAACGTGGCAGTTATATTAAAATCCCCAAACAAGGCAATCTATGGGGGAAGCCTATGTTCATTAGTGAACTTTTAAAAGGCTGTAATTAATTAAAGAAATCATTTTTAAAAAGCCGGCAACGCATCTGCGATTCCCCTGGTGTTGAGGTGTTCATGGGCGGCGGTAGTCACTTACCATCAGGTGAGCCGCATGCTCGTTTGCCCCCTCGCCTATAAAAAAGAAAGTTGGATTTACCTAGTCGGACTATTTGTCCCAGGTAAACATACTCGTCAACAACTTCGAGCTTAGTGCTTCCAACAACTACCGGCATAGGTGTGACATGGGCATTAAACATAATCTTTGTTTTGTCCATGTTCATCTTAAGACCTATCCGTTGGGAGCCACTATTGAGGTCATTGAGTATAGTGCTTAGGTCCTCCAGCGATTCTGCCATAAGGACTATATCGTCGGCAAATCGAAGGTGAGTGATGTACTCGCCATTGATGTTAATACCGTATCCTTTCCAGTCCAGAAGCTTGAAAACGTCTTCCAATGCAGCGGTGGAAAGTTTCGGGGATATAACGTCACCCTGTCTTACACCTCTCTGCAATTGGATAGGTTTCGTGCTCTGGTTCTGTACTCGGATAGCCATCGTAGCTCTACTGTACAAGCACTTCAGCACTTCGATATACCGACAGTCAACTTGGCACCGCTGAAGGGACTGCAGCACCGCCCAAATTTCGACGGAATCAAAGGCTTTCTCACAGTCCACATACGCCAGGCATTGTGGCAAATTGTACTCCTCGGACTTCTGTACAACTTGCCGAAGGGTATGTATGTGGTCTATGGTGCTAAAGCCCTTTCGGAAACCGGCTTGCTCTAATCATTGGGGAGTATTTGCCATAGTTGCCACGCTTGGCGAGCGGGTTGAAAACCGCAGTTTTTTTATTTTAATTTTATCTATTATCAGGAAGATGCTGCTGCCCATCTCCTGCCTGTTTCCCTTTGTCGCCTTTTACGACACCCACGTGAAGATATGGGGTAGTGGATATTCTTGACCGCCATTACACGGCACAAAGGCCAAATTAAATTCATTAAAAAAAATATCTCAATTGAGGTAGAAACCTTGTCAGGCCTCTATCATTCTTGCTACCTGGGTGAAATAATCACCTATAATCGCGAGGCGCCCCCGGGGCAGAACGCAGTCGGGGCAAGCGCGGTCTAGTCGATTGAATGTTAATTATTTTTTTAACGCTGTTTACATAAATAGTTTTTTGTAAATATTTGTTAAAATACTCGTCGAAATATTTATTTTTAGTGTTTAGTATATTTAATTGTAGGATAAAATAGTTGAAAAAGTTTTAATGTAATTTAAGAATTATATATGATATATATATATTACCTATCTAGTTGATAAATTATAATGGCAAAACGTCGTTCCTACAATAGGAAAAGGATACAGATATATCTTTTTTTAAGTTATCGAAGGATAAAAAAAATGAAAGGTGCTTTTATTTTTTTGTTAGATAGGTTTTTTTTTATAGGGGAGGGGGCAAACGAGCATGCGGCTCACCTGATGGTAAGTGACTACCGCCGCCCATGAACAACTGCAACACCAGGGGAATCGCAGATGCGTTGCCGGCCTTTTAAAAAGGAGTACGCTCTTTTCTTGAAGGTCCCTAAGTCGTATCGGTCCGGAAAAATCGCTGATGGTAATCGATTCCACAAGGAGGTCGTGCGAGAAAGAAAACTTCTTCTAAATCGCACAGTGGTGGACCGCCAATCATCCAGATGGTGTGGATGGTATCGGGAGTTCTGCCGCGATGTGCGTTCGTGAAATTTGGCGGCTGGGATTAATCCGAACAATTCCTCAGAGCACTCCCCATGGTAAATGCGAAAGAAAATGCAAAGGGATGCAACATCTCTGTGCCAATGAGTCGAGCCGATCGGAAAGGGCTCGGTCGTCGACGATTCGCACAGCTCTGCGTTGGATGCGGTCAAGTGGAAGGAGCTGGCACTGGGGAGCCCCTGCCCAGAGATGGGAACAGTATTCCATGTGAGGCCGAACCTGCGCCTTGTAAAGTTGCAGGCGGTGTGCCGGCATGAAATACTGTCCCGCTCTGCTGAGCACGCCAAGCTTTTTAGAGGCCAATTTGGCCTTCCCTTCCAAGTGACCACGAAACTGCACGTCACTCGATATGTCGACTCCGAGGATACCGATACTGGCTGAGGCAAGAAGGGAAGTGCCTTGAAACTGAGGAGATACGACAAAGGGGTTCTTTTTAGCGGTAAACGCACAAACTTGTGTCTTCTGAGGATTAAACTGGACTAGATTTAGTCGCCCCCAATCCGAGACTTTTCTCAGCAAAGACTCGACTTCAGACACAAGTTTGTTCCGGTACTCAGCGACGTTTTCCCGAGAAATATTGGCACGGCCGGTGTATAGAGCATCACCAGTGCTGTCATCCGCATAGCAATGAATGTTACCAGTTAGCAACATATCATTGATATGCAGAAGAAACAGCGTTGGTGATAGCACACAGCCTTGTGGAACACCAGCGTTAATAGGCTTGTAGTCAGAGCATGCACCGTCTACAACGACCTTGATGCTCCGATCTGCAAGGAAGCTGGTGATCCAATTGCACAATTTCTCGGGAAGCCCATAGGAAGGGAGCTTCGAAAGAAGCGCTTTGTGCCAAACCCGATCGAAGGCCTTCGCAATGTCCAGACTAACGGCCAACGCCTCCCCCTTGGACTCTACTGCCTCCGCCCATCTATGGATCAGGTAGACCAGAAGATCACCAGCTGATCGACCCCGACGAAAACCGTATTGGCGGTCACTAATCAGCTGGTGATCCTCAAGGTACCGGATGAGCTGGCAGTTAATAATGGATTCCATTATTTTGGAGAACAAGGAGGTGATCGCGATAGGCCTATAGTTGGATGGGTCTGAGCGGTCGCCTTTTTTAGGGATCGGGTGGACAAAAGCTGTCTTCCATGAATTCGGGACTACGCCTTGGGAGTAGGAGTACCGGAAAAGACGCGTTAGGACCGGTACCAACTACGGAGCACACGTCCTCAGCACAATTAGAGGGATTCCGTCAGGCCCACTCGACTTCTGGATGTCCAGGGAGAGCAGTGCTTTGCGAACCGAGCGCTGTGAGAACAGCACATCCGGCATGGAGCACTCACACCGCGGGATGGTCGGCGGTGTTTTCCCCCGTCATCAAGAGTCGAGTTGGACGCAAAAAGGGAGCCTAAAAGGTCGGCTTTGTCTTTAGCGTCATGGGCCAGTGAGTCATCCTCCCTGTGCAGAGATGGTAGTGATGGCTTACAGAAATTCCCTTGGACAGCCTTGGCGAGAGACCAGAATGCACGGGTTCCCGAAGGAAGGCGAACTAGTTTCTCGCCAATTCTGCCTATGTGCTCTGACTTTGCCTTGGCAATAACTCTTTTGAAGGACCTGGAGGCGAAGTTATACTTCTTTTTAAGTGTGCTGGTGTTTACATCCCGATTCGCCGAAGCCGCAGCACAGGCTTGATAACACTCCTGCTTACTGCGTAATGCAGTCTTACAGGAGCGACCAAACCAAGGCTGAGATCTGCCTCCGATGGGTACCACAGATGATGGAATAAATAGTTCCATTCCCTGTAGCACCACATCAGTGACAGAGTCAGCAACAGCGCTGGGATCGTCCGGCGAGAAGCAAACCCGCCCCCATGGGTAGGATGCAAAGAAAGACCGCATTCCGTCCCAATCCGCCGACCTGTAATGCCAAACACGGCGGCAACCTGCAAAACGCAACCGCGAAGGGAGCGTGAGTGGCACCACACTCCGGATCAGACAATGGTCCGAAGAGCCAAGAGGGGCATCGACGGAAACCTGATATCCGTCCGGATGAGAGGTCAGCAGAAGGTCCAACAGGGAAGGTGTATGATCCTCCACATGTGAAATCCGCGTAGGCGAAGTAACCAGTTGTGTCAGACCATATGCCAAGGCAAAGTCATAAACAGATCTCCCCGCATGATCGGTTAGACGTGAACTGAGCCATTCGGCATGGTGGGCGTTAAAATCGCCAAAGATCACGATCTCTGCGGATGGGACCTGTTGTAGCAAGAAATCTGTAGCCATTTGGACGTGGTCGATGAGTCGGTCTGTTTCGGCATTACCGCTATGGGACCTATAGAGGCACCCGTAGACGCGCGGATGGTCGTCGCTGTCTACGCGTAGCCAAAGGATGGACAGGTCCGAACCTTCAAGACTGCCGAGGCGTCGAGAACAGGTGTCCTCTGACATACACGCAAACTCCAGCCCGAGGCACAAAGGAATGCTCCAATTTGTACCCCGGGTAGGAGAGATACGAAATATCAGCCGGAGAGGAAACCTGCGTCTCGGTCAGAAAGAGCAAGGCTGGCTTCGCCGTCTCGAGATGGTAGTGGACGGCGTTTAGGTTAGAGTGAAGTCCCCTGATGTTGCAGAAATTCACGAATAGCGTGGCAGGGGTCGCCTTGGTGTTCTTGCTCAGTTTGCCCCTAGCAGGTATGGTTTTGAGCGGAATTTCCCCCCCCCCCCCCCCCCCCCAGAATACGCGGGGCAGCCTGAGCACCCACGCTCAGGATCGGAATAACATGGTCGTGGATGCTCAGCGAGGTATTCTCCAGGGGTACTGGTACCCTCCTGGGGTAGTTCATCGTGTAATTCCGCTACCATGTTGATGGGGGGGGGGGGGGGGGAATTGGGCCTCCGGCCACCTGCACTCACCAGACGAAACGCAGAAGCAGAGCTTCTACTTCACGCCGGTATTCTGTGAGGTCGTGGTACCAACCCGGCTCGAGCCGGCCCAGCATTACATACCTGTACTTGTCTTTTGTAATTAAAATATTTTAAGTTAAATAACACAAAATACTGAAATTAAAACTTTGTGTACAAGATTTTTAACCAAGTAGAATACGATCACATTTCTGTTAGGAATCGTATTTCGCGTTTATTTACACTATGTTGTTTACACTATCGACGTATTTCTTACAAGCCAAGCATGGCGATTGCCGATGAATAGCCTTGCAAGTTGCATGTGTTGGCCATCACGGAACTCACATAGTAGCGGAAATATGGTAAGATCATAGTCAGAACAGTTACTTTACCTAAGTAATTTACTTACAATTTAGCAATGTAATTTTTTACTCTTTATTAACAGCCCTTTGTAACCACGGAAAGTCCGTTGTGACGTAGAAAGGAGAAAAGATGCAAAGTAATACGTACACTCACGCGCAGCGATAAAGTTTTATTTAGCTTGCGTGCCCGATTTATCTGATTAATAATAACTATGTAGGCTATTAAAACGTCGGCAAGCAGTCAACATCAAAAGAGTGCAACTTTTGTACGTAGTACTATTATTTATTCTGTGACCTTGTTTCAATTGCAGTTGAATTTATAATTTTTATATAAACGTATTATAGGAGAAAGCGTATATTTAAAATGACCACGTACAATATGCATATTCTTAATATAAGGGAATGGGAACTAACAAAGTAATATTTTTTTTAGATCCCACAATCCCTGGTGGTGTCGCGGAGTTCATCAAAACGGAATAGCCCAAAGCAAACGACGACATTGCCCGACAGAAGATTGGCGTCCACGAAGATTGAGAAATCAGATCAAGGTAAGTGGCATGATGTCACGATGTTGTATATTGTTTATTTTTTATTACAGCAAAGAGGATTAATTTCAAGAAACCGATTTAAGTTTAAATGTCTGTCTGAGATTTACGATTACTTTATTAATATGGGTTGTCTAAAATCATTGGTTCTGTTCGACGAGTGGTATTTAACTTAAAAATAAAACGCTGCAATAGTGAATTGTGATTTAATAATAATAATAATATAATAATAATAATAAATAATTTATTTCGTCAAACATTAAAGTTACATTATATGATCAGTGATCGTATAATGAAATTTAAATGTTTAATAATAAATTAACGCATGTTATAAAGTATAAATACCAATATGTAATCCTTTTCTTTATAAAATATTTTCGATTTGCGTGTGCATTGTAGTGATTTTTTAACGAGAATAACTTTAATTTTAATAATTTCCATTTTTCATCCCTAATCGTTTTGGATTCTATGTTACCCAAATTCCACTTATTTAAATTTGTGCCCGATCCAATCCCAAAAACAAATAAGTTGGTTTCGCTATCTAAAACCAACGCCAGCGTGTATTTAGTTCGAGCTGTCAAATATAGTTTAATTGGGCAATGCGTACAAAGCACTGATTACAGTTAATTTAACGGGAGCGGGACAAAGGCTACCACACTAAATTATAAAGTTTGTTGCCGTTCCTCCCCTATTAAGCTTGAGTACTTCCTATAAGAATTCAATGCAGGGTATATTGTCTTTAGTTGCGTTCGCTTTACAGTTTGTTTTCGCGTAGCTAGCGTGTATGCTTTAGAACATTTCGCTTTCGATATTATCGAAATGATGAGCGGAAGCTGGGGGATATCACAACATATTGGTGTTTCGAGTAGATTGTTTAATGCCGGCGTAGAGTATAAGAGATTTGATGCACAGAGAAGTTGTTTGATTAGAATGCCTTTGTTATTTCTTTTGGAATTAATGTGAATAAAATAGCACATAATCTTACCACTTAATATTGTAGATATTTTTTTATCAATATGACAACTTTTTCATTACTATACACTTGTTAACTAAACAAAATGTTATGCTAGGAGTGAAGATAGGATAAGACCCTAAAACCAACACTTGTGTTTCGTTGTGGCAACCTAATCTATTACTATTGAAAAACTATACTTAATAAAATGAAACATCATGGTGTTAATCTTAAGACTTTTGATGACAGAATGAGTTTTTACACGTCCAAGGGACCACAGACCTTAGTGTTTGATATTATTTAAAATGCTTAAAAAGTCGCTTCGGCTCTTCACTTAGACCACACTACTCATCCGTATCCACCGTGCCTGCCTCCCGCAGCCCCGTCTGATATCGGAATTGATTTGCTTTAGTTTGTTGCGTCGTTTTGTTATTTGACGAGCAGACAGACACGTCGCACAAGTGCATTTTCATACTGACTCTCGAAGTGTTCATATTTTGGCATATTTTAACTGACTTAGAAGTAGGAAGGTTATTAGTTTTACACGTTTATTTTAGAAGAAGGTTATTAGCTTTACTGTAGTTACGTGGTAGAGACATGCTGCAGCTATATTATGGTCGTGGCACGAATTGGTCAGCTCGACGGGCTCTCACAGAATACCAGCGTAAAATAGCAGCTCAATGCTGATGGGTTTTGTATGGTGAGTGTAGAGAGCCGGACACTCTTCTTAGTGGAAATGAGGTGTTCCATCTTAGTCCTCACGAGTGACAACGCATCTTCATTTTGATTTTTAATCGAAGATGTCCATGAGCCACGGCATCTACTTACCATAAGATAGACTGTGTGATCGTTTGTCACCCTTATTATACAAAAAAGAAAACGAAAATCGTGAAAAACGTTTCACCATTACTCAAATAAAATAGTTGTGGAACTGCCTAGATACACTCGTAGTCCTCTATCAATAAACTGGAAAAATCCAATTTAGATCGAAGCTTATGATATTGACTTTGACTTATGAAAACAGTTTTTCAAATGATATTCAAATTCAAATTCATTTATTGGTTTACTATATACGGTGTTCGAGTACAAACTAATTAAGTACAAGATATCTTATAGTAATTAAAATGAAAATTTCTGATAATTCATTTACTTAAAATATTCATAATTTTTATTACTAACATCATAACAATTTAACACATAATATAATAACTGTAATAATTAAATTATAATATCTTAAAATTAAATAACATAGTCAAAAGATATCGTATCTCTAATTATATTTTTCTTTAAATCATTAAAGTGGCAAATGAACTACCAGTGTCATACAAACTCACTACCATCTTTAAATAAAAAATGCTATTGATTTTTTTTTTCTTGAGGGCTAAGATTAAATGCTTTACAGCCTGCTTACCATGCACGGGGCGCCGATCCTCATGATTTTAAATGAAAAGTTGATTCAATAAAATGATGCTGTTTATATTTCGACACTATTACTAACCCCCGAGGCAAATTGAGTGTGTTATATTATGTTTAACGTGGTTATCTGTATGTGGCGTCATAGGTCCTGAACGGATGAACCGATTTTGATTAAGTTTTTTCGTTGGAAAGGTGTCTTAATCGAACGTGTTCCTAGCTCTTTTTTGAATGTTGTTCTTAGAATGTTTCAAGAAAATCTGTTGAGCCGTTCGAAGATCATCAGCTCTTGTTTTGGGGCTTTTTAATTTATTTTATTTATGTTATATTATTATCGTTCGTCGAATGTTCAACGAATATTAATTCTAACTTCAATGGACATTATATAAATATATTATATATATATCGATTAATTACTATGTATATCATGCTATTGGAGTTCGTAACATCGTTTGTTACTGTTGTACCTGTTTTAAAAATATGCAGACTGTTTTAGACGAGAGCGCTTTGTTTGCAGCTATTGCTTATTCGGGTAACGATCTAACTTGGGCAACAATTTTCAGTGATGGATAGGTTTTACTTTTTAATGGTATTCAGCTGCATGACATTAGGTCACCAATACTATACTGTCATCCAATACTACTGTATCTTCTCTTCTCTACGGTTTATGTGCTTCACACTGCTGGGCACAGTCCTCCTCTCTCTTTATGAGTGTTTTAGAGCAAGTAATTCATTTGTGTTGGCGGACTTCATATATCTTTGAAATATTTTTATATTTCTCAGACATGGAGCTGTTCTCAAGATGTTTTACTTCACCGCTGAGCACGTAATAGACGGTTTGTTGGCAACCTCACTCATTCCTATTTAGACAAATAAGATATAGAACGAATTCATATACTCCATTTCGTATTAAAGCAAATATTCATCGAGCCCTCGATAATAATACGCCGTCTCCTCCCTAAAACCAGCAATTTCTTACTGTACAATATCCGTATCATATATCTTCGCAACTCTCCCACACTGCCGAGAAATATCTCCTAATGGGATGTCAACGATAAGCGATCTCCTTACGTTTCCCCTGTCACCTATTTCTCGCTTACTGCGCGTCTGCGAACTCTGTCTTATCGACGGAAACTTTGTCGACGCGGAGTGCTCACATGTCACAGATGCGTCAATAAATTCTCGACGCGTTTGCCGACGGGAAGGGAAAGGGAGGTGTTTGCCCGCCCGTGAATCCGCGTTGACGGCGTGCTCGGCGCTCGGGATTATTGGAAAGCCATTTGCGGCGGGCGGAGGGTGTGTGTCATAAGTGGTAGCGGAAAGCGGAGTCTTTATGAAATGCAGTGAAACCGAATTAAAAATATTTTTAGATGTAATTTAATAATCAAAATGTATTGATGTAGTTCTGCGCAAAATACCCCATTCTAACTATTACCATTACAGCAAGTCCATTGACAAATAGGCCTTCCCCATAGATTGCCAATATAGAGAGGATATTTACTATATTTACCACGCTTGGCTAGGGGGTAGCAACCGCATGTTATGCTATATTGTTTTGTCGTGTAGTGGCGTCATAAGGATAAACCTAACCTTAGGTTGCTAAACATGGTAGCTATGGCAAATATCTTATTTATTTATTTAATATTCTTTATTGCACAGCATACATAAATTACAGAAATTATATAATATAATATAATATCCTCCTTATGAGGCAGTTTATAAGCAGACTAATATTCAGCAGTAGACTTTGATAGGGCGTAATGAATGAATGAATGAATAATATTCCACTGGTAGAATCCTTATGTTTTCTACATAATGTGTTAATAGATTTTTGAAATATACGGATATTTATGGTCTGACAGATAAAAGTATGTAATTTAAATTAAATACTATGATCTGTAGAATGTGGATATTCTGTTAATTAAAAAAAAAACCCTCGTTATATTCCGCTTAAGCACATTACTTGAATCGCTGCACTGCTACGAATACCAAAGAGTATTACGGCATATTGCAATGTCCCCGTTCACGTTTTCCGGTGCCGTTAACGTTCTGAAGTATTGTGAATCCAAATAGGATTGCGTTGTGTACAGTTTTTGTTTTTGTCTTTATATTTGTAGAATTTCCTGCTTTTACGTAACATCTTATCAGATATAAAATAACTAGATCGGTAATGAGAAGCAGCCTCATAGTTGGAAGGATGTATTTCTGTACGCATGCCGCTTGCGGTTCATTTTCAAACTACCCGCAACCTGAGCAAAAGATTTTAATTGCCCACTTATATGACAAAGTTTAGTAGATTCGTTGCTTCGATGGTCTAGTGGTTGTAATCGCCAGGGTCGGGCCAAAGGAAAACCAGTTATTGAGTTTTTCTGTCACGAACTTCTCAAGACTATGAGAATGAAGGCATATAGAGTGCACCTGTGCTTGCGCATACACTCGGGCACTGTAGTCCTGTCATGCGCATATGGCTGAGACTGATCGCTGTGACTGAAATTCGGCCTGGAGGACATTATTATTATTTAAGACTGAACTGAGTGGATAGGGCGATAGGCTTTTAGTAGGCTACGGACTAGTTCGATAGAATTTATATTTTTGTGTGGATAACGGCCTATGAGCCTCTAGTATTACGGGTGTGAAG